AGTCTCTATTAGCGCACTGGGTTTACCATAAGCTGATACAAAAACTAAATATTCTTAAATTGGAATTTTTCCATGGTTTATGGAGGCTTGTCACAAAAGCCTACTAAAAAATTTTATTTATAAAGTGATATAATCTTTATATTATTCTGCCAAAAAACAAACCTAAACATTTAGTAAGAAATTTTACTGTAAAATCTACTTTCATCAGAGTATTAAGGAGTCTAACTGCACAGAAAGCTATGAAAACAATTATACATACTGACTTAAGTAACTTGTTTTTAAGTTCTGGGCTCAAGGCACTACAAAACCTGAAATAGTACTATTCATTCAACTGAGGTCATTTGTTAAGGAAAGAAAGAGAAAGAGGAAAATATTAAGAAGGCAACAAATTATTTGGGCATGACATCTTTGAGTCTGTTTATAAACTAAAATGTGACACCTGATCTACATCTGTGTTTTCAACCCATGAGTCACCTGAGCAGCTTTTTAAAACCCACAAATACCTAGGGCCCTCTTCAGAGCCACTGAGGTAGTATCCAGGCATCTAGGGATTGGTTTTATTTCCCAGACTGCTTCTGATGCCCAGCCAGGTTTTGGAACCACTGGATTGATGACCCTCAAGGTCTCCTTCTTGTCCATGACTTAAAATTCCAAATTGATAACTCTGTGTCAAAAGAACTGAAGATTGCACTTCATTACGTACTACACAGCAGCCATCATCACATTCCACCAGGAAAAAAAAGCATCCTTAATTTGTCTGAACAAGCAATTACAGTAACAGGGGATACTAAAGTCACTGACTGGATCTCCCACCCCTCCTCCCCAAGCACTTCTCTAACTTAGGGTCTATTAAATTTCACAGTAGTGAATGTTCTTCTCTCTCCAATACAGAAAAAGGAATCTCCTCAGACTGACTGAGAATTATAATGCCCAGTCACTCAAAAGATTCAAATTCCTGTATTTATTTTCTGTACATTTTCAATTAACATGAAATGTTTTAGAGGCATAGTGACGGGTTCTCAGAAATATGTGCAAAGAATTCCTCCTAAATGAAACCTCTTCCAGCTTTTCTCCCAGAAAGGGTAAAGTTATTTTGAGTAGGGAACAAAACTGGTTTGAGTCATTCTTCATATACAAATAATGTTTTATCAATAAGCATGAGACATCTGGGTGATTAGGGGACACGGATTTCTTCCTAATGCTGGCCAACCCAAAGCAGAGATTGCAGTTAGATTCCAACCACACAAGATCCTGTATCTTCTCTGGCACCCCTTTCAATACTAAGCTTAGTTATTCTAGACAAAAGGCACAATTAGCAACCTACCATTAAGTGTCCCGGATATTCTTAAAACGAGTTTAACTAGATTCCCCAAACATTTCATGATTAATTTAACGTTCTGCTTTCTTCATTTCGTTTAATTCTCCCATAGGTATAAGAAAGCTCCACTTTACATGCAGTAAAAACTGTCGAAGTGCACAGCACCGAATTAAAACCAATGCCAAATGGCAGGCTAGGATTTCAACTCAGCGCTTCTGACTGTCCAGAACGCTTCCCGCACCCTCTTCCGCATCCCTCCTCTCCCAACAGCGGGGCCGCACCGTGGAACGGGGGCTGATACTGCCTAGCAGAGACAGAATAGAAAATCAAGTTCCCACCGCCCTAATGTCCAATTGTGCCATACCCGTTCACTAGAACAGGGTCCCAGGAGTGGGGGGCGTAAAAGCCAAAGGCAGGCAGGAAGGAGAACTGTCCGAACAAATAAAAACCCTTGACTTCCAAGACGGCAGGGGTTGGAGGTCCTCTAACAGCAATCCTTCCCCTCAACGCTTTCCCCAGCTTCAGTAGAAGCAGCCGGGGGGGCGCTAGTTTCCTCTGCTTCAGCGTCGAACAGCTCGAACTGGAAAGAAACAGGGAAGGACAGCGGTCCCTGAGGACGAGCTCCCTCCCCGCCCCTAGAAAGGTTCAGAAGCGGCCCCGGGAGAAATCCGCTGCCTCCGTGGCTGACGTGGGAGGAGGGCAGCGCTCGAGGCCTCCAGGCCGGGACGCTGAGCTGGCGCGCACTGGGGCGGCAATGGCCAGGCTGCTGTCATTCGGCCAAACTGACGCCCCGGCTCTCGCTTACCTCCGTCCCTCACAGCCCTCACCTGCCCCTCCGCGGGCCCAGATGCAGCGGCAGCTCCCACTGCGGCCCCGCCCTCGCCAGCTCTAGGAAAAGCCCGTCAGCGAGGTGTCCGGCCTGCTCCCAGCGCCTCCGGCCGCTGAGCTTCCTTTGGAGCCGCCGCTAGTGCCGGCGCTCACTTTTCTCGTCACCTCCTCCCGTGCCCTTCCGCCTCAGCCGGGCCTGCGCAGCTTGAGGAGGGGAGGCGGCGGAGACCCGGCGAAGGCCGGCGCCGGGGGCGTGGCTCTGCCCGCCCTC